TTTCTCATCGGGGCTGATATTCCACCCGGTTGAACCCGGTTGGGTATTTCGCCTAATTAGCCACGCTCACGACGACGGTTTCCGGGTGTTCGAGAGTTTTATATCCACGGTAGAGAAATATATATACATACACGCGCGCAGGGTAGGCGGAAGGGGAAGAAGAAATTCCCACCCTCGTGGAACAATGCTTCGCTCGGTGGATATGTTACGTTCGGTTACAAGACCACGTGCTTTAACAAGGGCCGTGTTTAGACCGCCACGGTCAGGTCGGGGATCGCCGAAGAGAGAAAGGGAAAGAGAGAGAGAAAACTGAACCTGCTGATGTTAATTATTTTTACGAAATCGGTTGGTGCCGGTTCTACCTTTTTTGGGGGAAACAACCGCGAACACGAGAGGTGGAGAGGCTACCGGATCTCGTGAAAAAAATCACCGCCTGTTTGCCTCCCGGGCTAATGATATAACGATGAATGGCCGTCGTGTTTCGGGATACCTGAGAGGAAAACGTGGGATTTAGGAATATACTGGTAGTATTTTTTTTTTTTTTTTTCATGGACACGAATATAACAACACGGATGGAGTAACAGCAAGTTGTAGGAAATGTAGGAAACAGATATACGTCCATCTCGAATATCTGCGAGGATAAATTTCGAATAGGTAAATTGGAGTAAATTGTCTGGGGAGTGAAATACGAAACACAGGGAGCTAATTAAATTTGGTTTCGTGTGTTGTTTAACTTTACATAGTTGCGCGGGGAATTTTGAAATTCTGGAGAAGGAAACGAAGGGGATACGTTACGCGATTTCGTGCCGAGATCGTGTGCATTTGGGAGCGTTTGGACGAGATTTTTCGTTCGTATTCGATCTTTGAGAGCTCGATGAATGTGTACGTTTCTCATTTAACTGACGAGGTTATCGGGAATCGGGAGGAAAGCATCGTGAAACGATACATTTTCGAGCAGTTGAAGCAAGGGATCGATTCGCTGCGGAACAACTTACGATACGTGGACGACAATTTTTCTTCCGCAATCAAAAAATCTTTGCCGATGTTCGAGCTTCGATATCGAATCCTCGTCATATCTTGAATCGTTCTATCGTAGCTGATTTTGTTCGATTCCTTATTTCTTTCGGCTTGGAAATGTTCTTCTACTTTTCCCACGTCTTTTTTCCTTCCATCTTTTATGGCGTTTCGATTCACAAGATTTCTACGACCGTTATTCCAATTATTTTTTTTTTTTTTTTTGTTTTCGAAAACTTCTTCTCGCTCGAAACTTTCGTTCGATTCGTTTCGCATTAATGCAACGCGTCTGTCGTTGTTAGGTATATAAGAACGTAATTTAATATATATTTTGCATATTTCCCGGATACATTGGATATTGTTCACATTTGTTTTAATTACGAAAGAATCCGCAGCCCGATAATGACTTTAATTCTATTACAAGTTTCAAAGCGTGCTATCAAAAACTGAGTTAAAATTTAATTAACGAAAACAACATTTAACGAAAAGTTTGGCAAACTAATTAAAGCACGAAGAAACATTTAATCGATCTCTCTCTCTCGCGGCATCCACTCAAACTACCACCACAATAAACGACCGAATCGAATTACACGGTGAACGCAATCGATGGAGGTTAAAGTGTCCTCGAGTGTTCTCAAGAAGATTTTGCATTTCAAATTTAACTATGGCCAATGAGTATTCACGGGGAATATATAACGGGTGTGTACGCTCAATGGCCGGAATCAAATGATATTCGAGATTATACGCGGCCGATCGATTCGATAAATCCTTTGGTCCGTCAGCGCCTGGACCCGTATACCTATAATGCGAATCGCGATCTATTGACTCGCGTACGCATAATAGTCCTCTCAGCCTAATGCGTGCACCGCGGTGCATCACAACACCAACGTCTTAGGATAATCTACGTCAAGCCGCAGGATCGGCGCAGCTGCAATAGACGTGCGGTTTACCCATTGTTTTACCACGAAATAACGATCGATAATTAATTGAGCGTGCGATAATAGGGCAAAATATCGCCATCCATGGTTTGATAAATTGTTGTTCACTTTTCGTAAATAACGACACAGAAGTGGAAAAAGTGATTTTTCTTGCACGCAAGAAGCGTATATCGAAATTTTATAAAAAGAATTTGTAAAAGGACTTTCGATAATTTTCTTTGTTAAAGAAAAATTGTTAAAGAAATAATTCGTACGAAGCACACAATTTTACAGAAAGATTCCTGAGATTCGGGATCCTCATAAATGGTTCCTCGAAGAAACCTTGAAACCTTGACGTCGAATATTTGCCTCCCTATGAGCCAATAAGACCCAATAAGAATAAACTTCCCTGTGTGCAACGGGAAAAGAACGAATCGATCTACGAGTCGCACAACTCCGCGTGGCTCCGCAAAAGAACGAGGCCCGGGATCGTTTCGCCTACCAATACGGAGAACATTAGCCGTAAAGAGGAAGGGGAGGCAAGTTTTTCGCGCCCCTTTAAAAGTTCGCCAGTATGCGACTTTTATTGCTAATGCAATCTGCCGGATCCGGCGAAACAACGATGAAACAACGTTGCGGTCGGCCAAGAAGGCCCTCGATGTCTCGTGGTGCCACGTACACGGAAAATATGGAGAGGGAAGAAGGAAGAAAGTCGACTATCCGCGTGATCGAACGATCGAGGGTGGAGATGGGCATCGAGGAGGGAGGAGGAGGGCCACGCGGATGGTAGTTTTATGCAAGGGGCGATCGTTAATCAATCACGGGGGGGGTCAGTGAATCGAGTCCGTGGCTCGGGTGTCACGATCGGAAGTGATCGAAGGAGAAGAGAGGGAGGGGGACGATAAATATTGTTTTTGCCACGATCCTTGGAACGTCCGCGGCCAGAGCGGCCGGTCTCTGAGCGAGCCCGAGAGAGGGGGTGAGGGAAGGAAAAAAAGTTTCGAAGCTGTTGGAACCTGTTTCATGGAAGACCGTTTTTACGCCCCCGCTTTCGTGCTTCGTTTTATTCTTTGGCCGCCTTTGACTTTGGCCATCTCGAAACTTGGCGCGCACCGCTAAGATCGCTTTCGAATTGGTTGGTGGTCGCGAGGTTGTTTCGCGAGGGTGAAAAAAGGGAGGATTTGGTGTGCATTTTAATTCAGGTTTACGAATGATCGGGAAGCATCGAGGCGTGAATACGTGTACACGTATGGTTGGCACAATGTTGTGATAACATTGAGGGTAAGTGAGGATAAAATTAATAGATGATTATGCAAATTGTTGGAAAATATGTTAATCGATGTAAGATAAGGTACAAAATAGCCCCGTATCCTCGTGCTTGTGCGTTATTACGAGGATTCATCTATCTAGAATGGTTGGAAGTTAATTCGGTTGTTAATGTTTGGATTACTTGAAGAGGAATAAGGATATCTTAAATATATATATTTTTTTTATACGGGATAATAATTGGAGAGTAAAAGATAGTTTTGCCAAAAAATCAATGAGACGTATATATATATATATATGGTTGTAATGGAGGATGACGGTATAAAGTGGAATAATTTTTAAACTTTGGAATTTAATTTAGCCGCTGTAGAAACTATATATTCTGTTATTTGAAATATTAGTCCATTGTTTCGGTCCATTGTTTTTTATCATTGTAAAAATTCCGTTCTATCAAATATTATTTTACTGCTTCGTATTAATTCGTTAATTAAGGGAATTAATTTAACGTAGATTTAAAAAGAAAAAAAAAAAAACGTACATTTCTCTTCTCGTACACCGCTCCTTTCATTCATATAAATCGATTGAAAACTTTATTTCGCGAATTGAAATCGTTGTTGCACTACTTTTTTTTACCGATTATACACCGATTATCGATATTTTTAACAATAGACCGAACATTTGTATTTATTAATAATCAAAAGCCCGAACGATACGAGATTCATTTATTACCGGACACAACATTCTTTGATAATCATTAACCCGTCAATAATTCATCATTTCAATTTTGACATTTCTCAATAATGAATACGAGTTCCATAAATACACACACTATATCCGCGCCCATTTTATTTAATGCACAAATAATTTCTCCTTTAAACAACACAATAATTAATCATACAATTCTACGTATTATACTCGTATACACATTTTACCATTTCTTTTCCATCATTGTGTATATACATACACTTATCCCAATTCCAAGTGTCACCACGTTTCGATACGAAATGAAACGCGCGCGAAATTACGAAACAATATTGCGTATACACAGCGACGAAATAATGACGATAATCGGCACGATCTTAACATTCGAGATACGGTAGATCCACAAATCTGGGCCACCGACAGACGGAATGCGCAAACAAGACGGCATTGCGAAACGCCGCGCTTAATCGTGCGCTTTTCCCGCGGCCGGATCCGCAGGCGTAGCGCGGTTCGGATCGGTTATCGATCAAAGGGAAGTCGAGACAGGGGCGAACGATCGCCTCCCGGGCCAATTCGCAGCCAAGGCGTGGTCTTTTCTCTACGTCCGTTAATCTCCTGCAACCGCTCTAATCGCGGCAATTCGCGTCCAATACGATCGTATCGGGCTGCCACGCAATGCTCGCGGGAGCGCAAGAGTCCGGTGACCGATAGAACCGGCTAATCGTTCACGAATACTAATTACACACCTCTAATCACCGATTCCGCGAAACGGCGCGTCGATCGTGCCCGACGACACGCCTCATTCGATAATCCCCTCTGCTGTCCTACTTCGATCGCCTCCCATTTTCGATCAAGGAGTAAAGTAAAGTTTGAAGTTAGTTTTCTTCTGGTTGGAGAGTGAGACGATGTTATAATTTAATAATAATTTAATAATCTGTTGGAATGTTTTTCTCTTCTTAAAATTGTATCTTTTTTCTTTTTTTTTTTTTTCAAATTTCGTTGTATTCGCACAAGCGAGATAATATCACAAGTTTGAGAGTATCGCATAATTTGTCTCGCATAAATATCTTCTCTCCAAGGTAGGTCGGAAGTATTCCCCTTTTTTACAGCCTTTAAAAAATTAGGATACAGTGTTTATTGTTCTTGTCCCGGGTAATTTCAATTAATTTACGACGAAGATTTTTTTTTTCCAGCGAAAAAAGAGCAGAGATCGTCACTTAACGAAGATCATTTTTCCTCGTTCAAAGTCTCTCAACCCGAAAAGCGGGTTCATTATTGATACGCCTCACCATTTTGTCGACGCCTTAATGCCCCTCCGCTCTTTAATGACGGCGTTAATAAGGATGGTGCTGCGCTACTTACGTGCTAAAGGACGCGACGAGGACGGAGGTAAACTGGTACACGGACTTAATTACTCGTTGTCGGGAAGAAAAAGTGATAATCGGTGCTGCTTACTCACCTGTAACAGAAAAGGAGAAAAAAAAATTGTTCGGTTATTAATTGATTTATCGAGTGAGCATTAAGGAGAAAATGTTAAAAAGGGGGCCGTGGTTTATATATATATATATATATATATATATATATATATA